CTCTACATCCAGACCACCACGCTGACCATCTCCATGAATCTGAGCGCGTCCGTGGCTCTGGGAATGCTCTACATGCCCAAGGTCTACGTGATCATCTTCCACCCGGAGCTCAACGTGCAGAAGCGGAAGCGGAGCTTCAAGGCCGTGGTGACGGCGGCCACCATGTCCTCCCGTCTATCGCACAAACCCAGCGACCGGCCAAACGGCGAGGCCAAAACCGAACTGTGTGAAAATGTGGATCCCAACAGTAAGTAACAAAACTTTTTATTCGCCGTACGTTGGGGAAGTTGATAATGTACATTTGCTCATGATGAATTCAAACGTCTTTATACTAAATCTGGTGAACTCTGAAAGACTGATTTAGCATTACAATCATAAAAATAATTTAGTTTTAGTTTTGGTTTTTGAGATTTTGGATCGCATGAGCAGATGTAAGTTATCAAAACTAAATAATGTGATTTTTCACATTATTATGCATGTTTTCTGGCTTTTTGCACTTATCATGGCACTGTTTAAAATTGGCTGAAGTGATGACCAATTTAATGCAACCTCATTTAAATACTACTCGCTTATAATAACTTCAATTAATAAGCCATCAACAAAACTCTAAACTCTAAAAGTTTACTCTAAAAGTGTAAACCAATCGTTTACAGATTCGGAGGATAATTAAAAAAACAAATATATAAGAATAACGCATTTTAACAAATGATCTGTTAAGCGTCATAATATAATAATATTTGTAAATGTTATAAATAAAAGGTTAGTTCACCTAAAAATGAAAATGATTTCATCATTGACTCACCCTCATGTCGTTCCAAACCTGTGAGCCTTTCATTCATTTTGAAACACAAATTAAGATGTTTTAAATTAAATCCAAAAGATTTCTGTTGCTCCATTGACAGCTATGCAACTACCACTTTGACGCTTCAAAAAGTTAATAAAGAGATTCTAAAACTAATCCATATGAATTGAGTGGTTCAGTTCAAATTTTCTGAAGACTTGATCGCTTTATATGATGGACAGATTTCGTTTAGGCTTTTATTCACATATAAACATTGATCAGCGAACATGCACAGAGGCTCAACAGAATGACATGAGGGAGATTAATTGATTTTTTGGGGGGTGAACTAACCCTTTAATGAATGTATTATGTTATTTTATAAGAGTTAATTTATTTATTTGTAGATTTGCTGTCCAGGTGTGGTCCTTGTGTAAAGATCTAACAAATTAAAAGTTATCTTTTATTAAAACAACTTATAAATGTGTAACCATTATCCCCAAGCCTGACCCTTAAAGTTGCTTTCCCAAAAGTTGGGTGTAATGGCGAGCTCATGTCCCAGGGTGCAGTGCTTGAAAGATTCATTGCAGAATGTCACCATGAGCTGAAATTCTGTTGCTTTAGCCTGTTGATGTTGCAGCATGAGCTCATGTCAGATATAATGGAATGAAGTCGTCTGCTGAGAATGACCACATTTCCTCTAATGAGCACAAGATGGTGGGCCGCACACCGCAGAGAGAGAGTAATAGCGCAGGAGGCCAGAGGATTAGCATGTCGTCACTGTCAAAGGAAAGCCATGAGTCTTTGAAAAAGAAATGAAATTCCAAAAGATGAAAAGTACTTTTTGTGTTGTTTATTCAGCTTTGACTGGAATTGCAGGTCTTTGCAATCTTTCAGCTGCTTTTGGGATTCTCAAATAGCTACAGCACATAAAGAGAAAAAAATATTATGGCAATTTCAAAAATGACGGCATCAAGGTTTTTTTTTCTGACAGTGGCAATGCTTTCCTCGCATTATTAGTTATGCCATTCTTAGTTGTAAGAAATGGCATATCCAAAGTCAGAAATCTCCCCATCACCTTAGCACTTATATCTATGCTAAAACACACCCACCTTCTAACCTAGCTTGAAATTAAACTGCCATTTTAAATTTCATGACTGTTTGGACCAATCAGAATCTCTGCTTTGCTTCTATTGGACCAATCAGAAACAGCTCACCAAGTACTGTTTTTTTCCCAACAGGCTAATTCTCATAATTTATCAGGTAAGACCAAATTAATCTTCTACCTTTGGTTATGACCTTGCTCGCTTTTTGAACGCTGGACGAAAGGACGAGATGGAAATAATAATCGGTCTTTTGTGGCCATTAATCACAAGTTTCACAACTTGTGATGAAAATCCCACAGTGTCTCTTGGTAGAACTAGATAATGAAAATTATCTTTATTGTACCATGTACCGTAAGACATCAAAATTTAAATTAATTCAAAATCAGTGTCAATATGCCCTACACAATTTGAAGGGTAGCGTCGTAGTCAAGACCACCTAAGCCGAGACCAAGTCAAGCCCGGTGTGTTGAGACCAAGACCAAGACTTTGAGGGGTTGAGACCAAGACAAGACCAAGACCAGTGTGTGTTGAAACCAAGACGAGGACCAGACCAGTGTGTGTTGAGACCAAGACAAGACCAAGACTTTGAGGGGTTGAGACCAAGACAAGACCAAGACCAGTGTGTGTTGAAACCAAGACGAGGACAAGACCAGTGTGTGTTGAGACCAAGACAAGACCAGGACTTTGAGGGGTTGAGACCAAGACCAGTGTGTGTTGAGACCAAGACAAGACCAAGACTTTGAGGGGTTGAGACCAAGACAAGACCAAGACCAGTGTGTGTTGAAACCAAGACGAGGACAAGACCAGTGTGTGTTGAGACCAAGACAAGACCAGGACTTTGAGGGGTTGAGACCAAGACCAGTGTGTGTTGAGACCAAGACAAGACCAAGACTTTGAGGGGTTGAGACCAAGATAAGACCAAGACCAGTGTGTGTTGAAACCAAGACGAGGACAAGACCAGTGTGTGTTGAGACCAAGACAAGACCAGGACTTTGAGGGGTTGAGACCAAGACCAGTGTGTGTTGAGACCAAGACAAGACCAAGACCAGTGTGTGTGTTGAGACCAAAACAAGACCAAGACTTTGAGGGATTGATACAAAGACAAGACAAAGATCAGTATGTGTTGAGATCAAGACTCAGGGCCCTATCTTGCACTCGGCGCAAATGACTTTGTACACTGACGCATGTATCATTCCTATTTTGCACCCCTGCAAAGCGGACTTTTCCCTCCACAGACACACGTCGGTTAACTAAGAAATACACTTGCGCTCCCCGGGGCGGTTCAGCACAAAGAGGAGGCGTGTTCCAGCGCAAACTTTCCCTCATGCTATTTTGCTGTTCTATAAAACAATTGCGCCACTGACCAGAAAAAACCTAGTCTAAAGTCAGTGGCGCGTTGTTCATTATGCTATTTTAAGCGTGCATGCTTGGCCTTAATCAATGTAGCGGGTGCACAACGCGCATACACGTTGCTTCTCTCATCTAAGCAGCAGTTTTCATTTTTGCAAATCATACATTATTACGATAGATAGATAGATAGATAGATAGATAGATAGATAGATAGATAGATAGATAGATAGATAGATAGATAGATAGATAGATAGATAGATAGATAGATAGATAGATAGATTTATGATAGACAATTTATTATAAAAGCATACATGTAGCTTACACATTTACCCAAATTATCATACGCCTGTTTAACAGAAGTTAATTTGTGTGGGTTTCTCCATCCCCAATGTCACTTCTCTGTGTTTTACGGCCCTGACGAGAACGTTGCTCTCCTCGGCTGTGAACCGCTCCTGGCGCGCGCCTGGCAATTCCGCCGTTATAATAGGAATCGGCTTTAGAACAAGCGCGCCTGCTCTTAAAGGGAATGTGAGATGACGCTCTGATTGGTTTATTTCACGTTACGCCCAAACCACACCTATGAATAATGAAGCTACTTCAGACCAACCCCTTTTAGATTTGCGCCAGGCGCAAGAGGCATTTATCCCGCCGGGAAAATAGCAACAGCGCCGGGATCCGCCCACAAAGTTACTTGCGCTTTGCGCTTTGACACTTGCGTTTCAGATCGTTAAAATAGGGCCCCAAGACTTTGAGGGGTTGAGACCAAGATCTGTGCGTGTTGTGGCCAAAACCAGTGTGTGTTGAGACCAAGACCAAGTCCAGTGTGTGTTGAGGCCAAGACAAGACCAAGACCAGTGTGTGTTGAGACCAAGACAAGTCCAAGACCAGTGTGTGTTGAGTCCAAGGCCAGTGTGTGTTGAGACTAAGACAAGACCAAGACCAAGTTACTAGTCTCGAGGACTACAACACTACTAAAAGGTGCCAAGACCTTAAACTCAGCATGAAACGAAAGTTGCGATAGTCTTTTCTTCCCTATTGTGATGTCTATCTTAGTGAAACGGCTTCTCGAACAAGAAAAAAAGTAGGGCCCCTACTTTTTAAACTTTACCCCTGCAAGCTCACATTCATCTGCCTCATCTTTTGAGTGCCAAGCCTACATTTTAATAATCCTCAACCGATGCATAAAATCAAGTTCCCGTCTTGCATTTTTTTTCTTTTTTGATAATCCCTTGCAGTCAGATGTATGTCACAATAGGGGAAAAAAAATATTTATCAAATGTTGTTAATTTATAGCTCATAGGAGACTTAATAGTTCTCATAGTATTTCAACCTTAGCTGTCTCATTGCCATCTAGGTAAAAGTCTAGGAAAAACAAATTTTGAATGGAGACATTATTTGCAAAACCACATGAATTTTTCTCATCTACATGCAGCAAGCATTTTACATATTTAATGTTTCCAAGAAGAGTGTCTAATCAAAAGCTGAACATAGTTATGAAACGGTGAACTCAACTGTCAGAGGTAATCAGATGACACATGGAAGATCCCAAGCTTCAAACACAAGTCCCACTGCTCAATTCCCCTAACGCCACCGTGATGGCATAGCAGACTCCATCGCAGGTCCCAGAAGAGCCGTGAACCATCTGTGTCGGCCTTCCCTGTGCACTCACTGTTCTTTCTCTCTCCCTCTTCTGCTATATAACACACTCTGACTCTCTAAATAATTTTTATGGATATGTATGTATGTGAATGTTCTGAACCCTGAGATATCTGACACCCAAGGGAATAGACCATAAAACCATTGAGCCGAGATGGCAATGCCAAGAGCGGAATACCGTAATCATCGCCCTCATTCCCAACAATTTTGGTGGCACATGCAAATTCCAGTCGAGTTGATATGCGAGCTTCATCACTGAGACTCAACTGGCGCTGCACTTCACTGCAAGAACGCAGGACAAGTTTTGACGGCAAAAAAAAAACGACTGAATTTTATGCAACTGTAAACGGTTTGCATCAAAAGGGATGTTTAGATTTGCTCTGACAACAGTGATGATTCATATTTATTTATTCATTTTCACATTGACGCAAAGACAAAACTCAACCGTTTGTGAGCTTTCAACAGAACATTCAATATCTTAATGATCCTTACCCTTGCATAAAGAGAGAGAGTGTGCAGTATTACCGATATTAATGGCCCATATTATAATCTCATCCTAATAAAATAATATAAATGAACACTATAAAATTTTTCTTCCATTGTAAAGATAACCCTGTGCAAAGAGCTCAGACACCTAAATTCTGTTCTGATAGATACAGTGTGTTCCCTTTTTCAGTAATTTGTTGCGGTAAAGTGGCCAGAATTTGTTCATTTCAATGAGCCTCATTGGTAGAAAGAATTTCTGTGAAAATTGTTAATTATGTTTGTAAAAAAAACACACTTTCACAATTATTGCATCATGCAACAGACGTTTCACGGTATCTTTCTTACGCATGTACGGTAGTCGTTGCATTATTCAATGTAACTGTCATGTTATCATTCCTAAAACTATTCTTAAGAAGTTGTTGCATCATGCAACGTAACTGTCTTGTTGGCATTTTAAACATAGTTTTTACCTAATTGTTGCATTATGTGACATAATTGTGACATTATCATGTTTAAATGTATTCATAATTAGTGCATTCTGCACTGTAATTGTCATTCTACAGTTTGTAAAGCCACTCTCACGCAGTTGTTGCATTATGGGACGTAATAGTAATTGTTCGTAAAACCAATTGTACATAATTTTCACATTATGTGATGTTTTGTTTTAAACCATTCTTACGTAAATATTGCATTATGTATCGTAATTGTAACACTCATTTGTAGAGCTGCTCACGCAGTTGTTGCATTATGGGACGTAATTGTAACACTATTGTTCGTAAAACTATTTGGACACTAATTTTTATTCTTGCATAATTCTTGCATTATACAATGTAATTGCCATGCTATAGTTTGTGAAACCACTGTTACACAATTGTCGCATTATGTGACATATTTGTAACGCTATTGTTAGTACAACCATTGTACGTAATTCCTGCAGTACGTGAATTATGTTTAAAGCCATTCTTACACAATTATTACATTATGCAACGCAATTGTTATGCTAATATTTGTAGTCACTTTTATGCAGTTGTCACATTATGCGGCGTAATTGTAACATATCGTTCGAACAACAATTTGTGCGTAATTTCAGCATTATGTGAAGCTATCGTGTTTAAAATCATTCTTACATAATTATTACATTATGCAACGTAATTGTACCACTATTTGTCGGAATATTTGCATTATGTGACTTAGGGTACGTTTCCATGACAACGATATGCTTAAAACGGAGCAGTTTTTCCTTTGAGTTTTCCGCGTACAGACGACACCATTGCCAAAACGACCCCCATTCACACGGATCCACGAAAACGACTAAAAACCTGTATTCTGCTCCAGGCCATTAGATGGCGCTGAAACACTATAGACTGAACACGTAATACGCATGTGCATGACATCATAGTCTTCCAAGATTTGCGTTTTTGTTGTTTACATGGAGACCGTTTTCAAAAATTCGCACTTTTGAAACCTGTTTCCAAACGGTTGCGTTTTCAGGCTACCAAAACGCCGTTGTCGTGTAACCGAACGGCCCAAAAAAAGTTGAAAAAGACTTTAGACCACATAAAAAGTTTTACGTTTTTAGTTGAAAACGGTGTCCTGTAAACAGCCCCTTAATTGATTAGGCTGTACTGCAGTCGGTCAGGGGAGATGTACTGACCTCTGGATGAACTTTGATTATGTGAAGGAATTCGCTGTTGTCTGGAGGCATCACAGCTGGTGGGGCAAATACGGTCTTTAAAAGGGGGTCACATCACCTTTAGTTTATTTTACAAGGAAATACAGCCACCTTCAGTCAACTTGGTCCCATATTCTGTCTATCTCCCTATATTGTCCATCACTCTCAAATGTAATTGTCAAATATAAGTAGGGGTGGGGGAAAAAATCGATTCTTAGATGCATCGCGATGCGGACGTGGACGATTCTGAATCGATTCACAATTGTCAAAAATCGATTTTCAAAAAAAAAAAAAATTTTTTAGATATATATTTATAATAACGTAATATTGACGGAACGCGAAAGACGGAACTCTGAAGCGCGGAAGTGCAGTGGCCGGACCGTCTGTGGCGTGCACATAACAGACGCGGACGCGATGGCTGAGCGCCAAATCCAAACACCCTCCTCGTTAAAAGCTGACGTGTGGAAATATTTTGGCTTCTGAAGTTGAAGGGGGAAAGGAGCTGGACAAAAGCCACACTAGTTGTAAGCTTTGTAGAGTAAAACTAAAATATTTCGGAAACAAGACACATGAAGCCAAATGACACGTTTCCAGCCAGAGGAGGAAAAACACTCGGCTGTAACCTTACCGGTCGTTGTTATATTATTAATTTACTACAAATATGCTGCTGCTAGTTCAGACACACATGTATTTTCCTGTTGGTTCTTTGCAATGTTAATAAAATATATTGTACGTTAATTCTTTATGGGTCATTACTTTGTACTTTTAAAGCAAAGTATTTATAGTCACACACACACAAAAAAAAGATTCTGATAATCGATTTAGCATCGAATCGCAGCCCTCTGAATCGTAATCGAATCGAATCGTGAGGTGGGTTGCCAACTTTCTGAAATGGAAATAAGGAACGGGGGGGGGGGGGGGGATTCATACATTTTATATCATATTATAATGCAACTTATTAGGCCTATATATTTATAGAATAGCAAAGTAGGCTTAATCAATATACAGGACTTAACCACATATATAAAGGCTATCATGATCATTTTGCCACAAATGAACCATGTATTTGTTTAGATTATAATACGTTTTATTTTTAACTTAAACAAATACAACATATAACATTCGAAACTCATCGGCTTAGACTGCATTTGAAGAAAAATAAACACAACAGTTTTCTGTATCCTTGTGCGAACTTATTCAATAGAATTAGACTTCTAGAATGTGCTTTTCGGTGCAAAAATTTTTTTAAATTTTTTTGGGGAAGTTTTTCTTATCATAGCCTACAAATGTCTTCGGAAACACATTTTACTTGATTTACTGAAGCCTGTAAAATGCATTTGCAGCTGCACAGCTTGCACATTGAGCGTCTGGCTCGCTCAGGCTGCGCTGCCTCAACTGCACATCCAATGGCGTGGGCGCCTCTGACGTGCGACCAATGAGACAACTCTACGTCATTACACGTCAGAGCCCGTCAAGGTGGCGCCAAGTCCCCGAATTTGCATGCAGCGGGTCTTCGTTCATTCATCATAGTCTGTCTGACATATATATTAGAAGCTATGCGTCTGTCATGGATTTGCACTGAATTGATTCTCAAAAATACGGAACAAAGTGCGTTCCGTATCAGTTCAATACGGAACAAGCCTTTTATGTGTCAAATACGGAACGATTCCGTATTATACGGAACGGTTGGCAACCCTACTAGAGATTCCCACCCCTAAATATAAGAGGCAAATAGTCCAAACAATACGTGTATTTATTTGGTTTAGTGTGTGTGTGTGTGTGTGTGTGTGTGTGTGTGTGTGTGTGTGTGTGTGTGTGTGTGTGTGTGTGTGTGTGTGTGTGTGTGTGTGTGTGTGTGTGTGTGTGTGTGTGTGTGTGTGTGTGTGTGTGTGTGTGTGTGTGTGTGTGTGTGTGTGTGTGTGTGTGTGTGTGTGTGTGTGTGTGTGTGTGTGTGTGTGTGTGTGTGTGTAAATTAGGTCACCCTTATCTGAGCTCCTATTTCATAGGACCTATTGTATTATTTATATATGTTTTTGCATATTAAGGGCACTTCCCTCAATCCACATTCATCAAGCCCACATTTCTGAATAGATGGCACTCAGAGTGACATTTAACTCAAATACTAAAGGGGCTACTGACACTTAAAGGCCACAATGATCTCTCTACTTGGTAACCTTTACTTTTAAATATTTAGAGGTTCATTTACATGCAAAAGAGCACAACAAGCATCCGTGGATAAGCGCTGTAATTTAAGACTGGAGTCATTTCGTTACACAGAGTCTCTGCAAACACATCAGCGGCAGCTTGTGAAGGTCACGCTGTTATGACTGAAGACATTTGAGGGATTCTTACATAAGACTTATGCGATATTCATCTGCTTTTTAATTTTAAGTTGCTCTTTCATCATATAATGAACACAGTTAATTACATTCATGTGAGTTCATACTGTGGGTTTGAAATTCATCAGATCCCCTTACTGTAACTATTAAAGTATTAAGTAGCATCGCCCTAGAAGATTCTCAGAACCCTTAGTAAACCTCTCAGAATGCCCTAATAGCCATCCACCAACCACCCAGAAATACCGTTGCAACTGCCTAGCAACCTCTCAGAACACCCTACAACTACACAGTACACCCTAACAACCACTCAGAACACAGTAGCAACCTCCTAGTAACCTCTCTAAACACCCCATCACTTCCCAGAACACCCTAACAACCAATCAGAACACAGTAGCAACCACATAGCAACCTCTCTAAACACCCCACCACTTCTCATAACACCCTAACAACCAATCAGAACACAGTAGCAACCAACTAGATACCTCTCAAAACACCCCACCACTACTCATAACACCCTAACAATCAATCAGAACACAGTAGCAACCACATGGCAACCTCTCAAAACACCATTCAACTACACAGTACACTCTAAAAACCACTCAGAACACAGTAGCAACCTCCTAGTAACCTCTCTAAACACCCCACCACTTCCCAGAACACCCAAACAACCAATCAGAACACAGTAGCAACCACATAGTAACCTCTCTAAACACCCCACCACTTCTCATAACACCCTAACAACCAATCACAACACAGTAGCAACCACATAGCAACCTCTAAACACCCCACCACTACTCATAACACCCTAACAACCAATCAGAACACAGTAGCAACCAACTAGAAACCTCTCAAAACACCCCACCACTACCTAGAACACCCTAACAATCAATCAGAACACAGTAGCAACCACATAGCAACCTCTCAAAACACCATTCAACTACAAAGAACACCCTAACAGAGTTGGGTAAGTTACTCAAAAAAAAGTAATCCACTACAAATTACCAATTACTACTTTAAAATTGTAATTTGATTACATTACTGATTACTGCATGTAAAAAGTAATCTGATTACTAATTACTTTACTTTCAAGTTACTTTGAAAACATATTAAAACTACACAAAAATACACTACAAAGTGAAACTCAGTTCTTTCCGTAATTTAATTGGGCGAGCTCTGTGGACCCATAGACTATTATGTCTATGTGTGGACCTCCCCCCCTTCTGCCCGCGAGTCGTCAGGGAAACGGGCCAGCCCGCTGTAGTGCCGCGCCGTTAAAGCGCCGTACTCAGCGGGTCCCCGAGCCTTCTCCAGCCCGTTAAAGCTCGCCGGTGCGCCTGCCAGCTTCACCAGCTTCACTCGAGTCGCTCACTGACGGATAACGGCCGCCGCTTCCGCCTTTAATGACGACGAGATAGCTGCATCTGTAGAGAAGGACCGCAGCTAGCTTTCTTTACGTTATAAGAAAGCTACCCCGCCCCCCGTAGACGTCTGCGTCCATTTTAGCAGCCGCGTTCTCCGGTAATTCATTAAAACGCATGCTCATTAACTGACGCAGCCGCGCCAAACGTGATTAGAAATGTATTTTACTTAATAATTTTTCTTAACAATACATTTGTAACGTAAGTAACTTAATTTTATTGACATTAGTAACTGTAATCAAATTACATACATTTTAAATGTAATGAGTTACATTACTGCGTCATCACGAAATGTAATTACACTACAGTAACGCGTTACTTTGTAACGCGTTATACCCAACTCTGCACCCTAACAACCACTCAGAACACAGTAGCAATCACCTAGCAACCTATCAAAACACCATACAACTACACAGAACACTCTAACAATCAATCAGAATACAGTAGCAACAACCTAGCAACCTATCAAAACACACCAAGAACATTCTAAAAACCACTCAGAACACAGTAGCAACCTCCTAGTAACCTCTTAAAACACTTTAGCAAACACCCAAGCACCCCACTCCGAATATCCTAGCAGCCAACTAGCAACCTTTTAAAAGCCCCTAGCAACCACTCAGTGCACGCTAGCAACCAATCTATCAAAACACCCAACAGCTACCCAGAAGACCCTAGCAACCACCCAGAACATTTTCAAGCAAACACAGCAAACACAAACACAAACCTTTCAGGCAAACACAGAACACTCTTTGTCTTTAAGAGTCAGTTTCTAGACTTTTTTCGTTCCATACCAAAACATTGTCCCTGTCAGGCCTCCTGACAAGAATCAACGAATTCATCTCATTTTTAGTGAGGAAAAAAAGGAAGAAATATCAAATGAAAAGCAATCTTTCATCTTTCTCTCCTCTCAGGTCCGGCCGCTAAGAAGAAATACGTGAGTTACAATGACCTTGTGATCTGAGGGCCTCCATCACAGGAGGAAGGTGATCGATGGCAGTTCCTGGGTTCTCTCGGCTCTTTGGCACAAAAGTAAAGCGGGAAAAAGGCTTTCGGTGTACCTCTCTTTCCATCCTTCTTTTGTCCGAGGGCCAGGACAGTGACTGGGCCCTCAGCTAAACCAACGACAGAGGATCTCAGTTGATTTTCGACACCTTTAAGAAAAATAAAAAGGCAAAACCACCCCTCACCCCCCACCCCCCCAAAAAAAAAAATCACAAAAATAAATTGACGTCTGCAAAAAAACACAGTAGCAGGAATCAACGGATTGTACAACCGGAGGAAATACATTTTTGTTGGGTTTTTTTTTCTTCTGATGGAGGTGTAACAATGGCACAACACGACTGACCTCCTGTCAGTCAACGATTGAGGTTGCACTTGCCGTGATGGACCTTCGACAAGGCGTTTGTTCTGATAATCCATCACAGACTTTATTCAGGGCGCTGATGAATCGACATGGCTTTGGAATGCTGGGCCAAAAGGTCCTCCTCATCTTTACATGTACTTCCAAACTGCAAGTTTTTTGGGATTTTCCGTGCAAATTTGTGTGGTTCTTTCAGCATTTCCGTTTTCCTTTGCTGTCGGGATTTTTACATTTCGGTTTTTTTCTTTCATTTTCCTTGCCTTTCTGGATGCACATTGTATTAAAGCCATATTCTTCTCTATGAGATCTCATCTTTTGGAATATTTTCTGTTTTACGGTCTTTATTTTGAGGGATACCATTCGATTTCCCCCTTTAACATGATAAATGTGACCGTATGCCTCACATTTTTCTACATTCCCACCATGTTTGTAAGGGTTCGTAGACCATCGACTGTGTTGTTAGTGACTTTGAGAGATGTTGCATTGGTTTTACAGTAACTAAACCCTGGTGACCGATGGTGTTTCAGAATTCTTTTTTAAAGAAAGTGTTCACGTAGCAGTTGTCAATGCATGCTTGATATGTTTGATGTTGAAGTAAATGAAAAACTCACCACAGTTTTCTCACACTGGCCTGTTTACAGATAATTTTTAAAGCCTTTATTGATTTCTCTCTTTTTTCCTTAAGTACTATCTCATGAATTTCTCAGACATTCACTCACTCAAGGCAGAATATGGCTTTAATTTGTCTTGGAATTTTTAACTGCCCCAGAACTTATGGAGAAAATTGTGCAAAAGATATCAATATATATTTAAAAAAATATATGAAAAAAATAAAAAGCATGTATGTTTTATACTGTTTGTACTAAGTATTCATGTTGCCCTTGCTGCTTATGTGCTGATATTGTGGAAGACTTTTATGTTTGGCCACTCATGCAACTATACTGTGGTGTTGTCCAAGAATGTACCAACATGAAATAAAACCATTTGGTTATTTTTTATTACTTTATTATTATTTTTAGTAGTAGTATTATTAGTATATTAGTCTTGAATGTGCTTGCTTGAATTATGTTTGTTAAAATTGTTCCCACTTATTATGCAGAGACAACTAAAAGTAAGCCACTTTTTAGGTTGATTTATTTGCTCAGTTCCAAATACAGGTTATTTTAAAACACCATGTGAATAATCACATTGGAGCCACGGCACTATGTTTCCATTCAAAGTTGCGAATTTAACCTATATGCAAAACCTATGTGCGAATAAAGCAGCGTTTCCATCCCATGAGTTCAAGAGAACAAAATCTACTCAGATGTTGTAGTTACATCATCTGCCAGCAGGTGCTAAATGTGCTATGCTAACCAAAAACTCTTAAAGAGGACTTATTATGCCCTTTTACTAAGTCTTGATTGTGTTTTTGGGCTCTACTAGAATAGGTTTCACGCTTGAATGCTCAAAAAAAGAATTTCACATTTTTGACATTGTTGCAGCACCTCTCTTCACAGTCTGTCAGTAACGCTCTTGGTTACGTTTCCCATACAACGGCGTGACTCACTGCTTAACCACCATGCATCGTTGGAAAAACTAACTAGCTAGTCACTCAAGTCTGTTTCCCGAAAACAAAGTAACTTTTTTCGCATATCCGTCGTTCGAACTACGTTGGTTGTTCAACAATTGTTAATGACGTCATACTAATTAATCGGTTCTAGATCAAATTAATGTTAGATTATTGCTGTAAATAGCGAACATGGCATCTGACGACTACTTCGGTATTTTTGTTCTCCATTGTTTTGCTTTATTTCCAGATGTTTCATTCAATCGCGATGCTGATGGCGAATGCTCATTGGAATTATTGTTTTGGGAAAACAGAATCATTTAACTATGCTGGTAACAATGGAACTTCCCCTCCTTCTAAAAAGTGCAATGTGCTCTGATTGGTCGCCTGGATTGGTCAACCGATTTTACTGTGTTTGAGAAATGTCACGCCCCTCACCATAACCGCGAATTTCAACACACTACTAACTAACTCAACCCGTCCTCGTCCCCTTTATTTTGTGTAGAAGAAGAAAACTCAAGACTACATCTGAGGCGTTTCAGGAAGTTCAGAAACAGTGACGCTGATATAGAATAAGTATATTATTCTAGTAACTTTGCAGACGTTTGTTTTATGCTCAAACAGCAACATCACACACTAAAGAATGTTGAATTTTTTTTAAAGCATATTAGCACCCCCTATAATTTAGATTCAGTTTAGACTATTACTTGCATAAGCCTTGTCTTCCACAATCCCACAAGGGACAGTGATGGAAACACTTCTGTTTAAGTTCCAGTAGGAAAGCATCTTCTGAATTATAAAATGGGATCAAAGCTGGGTTTGACTGGCGGTGCGTTAGCGCACAAGTGTGTGCGCGGTTGACAAGCACTGCACTGTCAGCAGAAGGCGTTGTGTGCTGGAAGCTCAGGCCTGTCAGATGATGGCAGAGAAACGTCTTTCAATCACAGCTGGAGAGCGAAAGTCTAAAGTGTCTTTAATTCTGAAAGTGAGGGGTTGAAGGAAGGAAATCTGTGTGGCTTGCAAAACACATTTGCTAAACCACTGTCATGGCTCAACTGTTTGCTAACGCGTCTTTGACTTGTTTACGCCGCAGCAAATGTCGTGGCTCAGCATGTACTGAGGACTATTGATGCACATAAGGTCATTACACATTTGATAAATAACATGAATTTCACCTTCTATGTAATCAAAATAGTTCTCTTGTTAGTTGTTTACCAGAGGTACCTATGTTATCATTTGGCTAATTCTTTATTAATCGGGCAGTCTAGATATGTGCTAAGCGAACAGGCTATTGAGTTGTATTTTAAGGGTACGTTTACACGACAGTAATATGCTTAAAACAGAGAAGATTTTCCTTTGAGTTTTCCGCCTACAGACGACACCATTCACACGGATCGACGAAAATGACTAAAAACGCTGTATTCTGCTCCAGGCCATTAGGTGGCGATGAAACACTATAGATTGAACACGTAATACGCATGTGCATCACGTCATCGTCTTCAGAGATTCACATTTTTGTTGTTAACACGGAGACCGTTTTCAAAAACATGCACTTTGAAACCCGTTTTCAAAAGTTTGCATTTTCAGGCTCCCGAAACGATGTTGTCGTGTCAATGAACGGCCAAAGCGCATAAAAAGTTTTTACTTTTTAAAACGCTGGTGTCGTGTACACAGCCCCTAATCGATTAGTTAAGCTATAAAGCTAATCTACTGAGTTAAGCAGTTTGTGAGTTAACCAGTTAGTTTACAAGTTTATGCACTTGCTTATTATACTTTAATTTACTTACACATACAACCAGCCAATCAGATTGGGAAGTCAGCTGTAAAATCTTGGTCATAATTTGGTTTAATGTTTAATGCGATTAATTTATCAATTTCTTCTTCAATATAATCAAAATAACATTCTTTTTAGATGTTTCTATTAGGGTTTGCTTTTTTAGCAGGCTAATTGGCTAATGGCAGATTAATCGGCTAACTATGTGCTAAGCTAACAGGCTAAGGTGTTAGCTATATGTTAAGCTTAATTAACCATATGCTAAGCTAAAAGGCTAATCTTCTTGCTGTATTCAAAGCTAGTCGGTTCACTAGTTAGCTTACAAGCTAATGCACTTGCTTATCTTACAAACCAACTGATTAAACAGAACAACAAACATTACATTTGATTTATAGTTTGTGCTATTAGTATACAAAATAATGGGTTAATAAAATACTTTTCTTTACCTTTGTTAGCAGGCAGACGAGTAAGAACCTGTGCAAAAAGCCAGCCAATCAGACTGGAGATGCTATTGTTTTTGCCGTCATGTGTGTAATGTGCCTGAGAACGTGGTGGTCCGTGGACATGCTGCCTGCGACTGAGACTATTGACTTCCAGTTTGTCGACGCAAGGGAGCCATCAAACGATACCCGTAACCTCCTTCTCAAGGAACGGAACACGAACATGATCGAAATGATTATTCTCACAAAGGTTTGGAAGTAAAATCAATGCATCTCTTCATTTCCACCCGGAATGGGGGCTTAAACTAAGCAAAATTGAGACCTAAAAAGACAGACTTGGTCACAAATTGATACGTCTCCGATCTGATGAGGTCTTTCCCTCTATCAAGCAAGGAATAGCAGGTGTCAATGGAACCCAATTTATACAATCCACGGGAATGAAAGTTATTAACCTGCTTGCCAGGGAATGTGTAGTTGCGTCTTGGCCTTTCCATTTGGTAGTGGGGGGACTCAGGATATTGAGATACGACTCAGGACACATTGATCTATTTCAGCTGCATCTTAAGTAAGTATTTGACATTTCCTCTCAGGCATTTCAGGCTGCTGCGCAACATGTTTAACTCCTTCCTTCCAGAATTAGATATTCCACATTTGGTTATATGAGGAAAACGGATGGAAATGTCAAGGCGACCCCTCGGCATGAGTTTTTATGATTGTATTAATGGATAAAAGATTATATTTTCATCTGTAATCCAAGGAGACAAAGATGGGCTCCACGTTCAGAAGATTCGAAATTATTCACGACGCCGGAAATCTCAACTCAAATTTAAGGGTCTTTACTACTGTAATTCATTCAGACTGCTGCACACTAACCCTTCATAGACAATGTTGGCTCACTACGATAATAAAAGCACACAGTACAGAGACCGTATCAAATTGTGAATATGACAGCCTAGTAATTTAGTTATGAACCAATTTAAAATCAGACAAGCGCAAACAGCAGGACAGGAGGATGTGGGATATTCAGTAATACTCAGTAATGATCTGTAATATTACACTAGCTGTAGTTGTTAAACAATAACGATTTCTGGAGAACTTATTAACATGGTATCTATTTAG